AATAATAATTTATTTTTATTTATTTGAGCCATATTAGTCACTTATCTTGTTTTGGTTGCTCCTTTTTGTCACCATACCTAACTGAACGCGCCGCTATTGGCCAGTATGTGGCAGTCTTAGATAGGACTTGTAAATGTACCTCCCCTTAATATTTTCTCTAGTAGACAACAGAAAAGGACCCCAAACGCCTGCAGTCGGTAGAACAGACCTATCCTCTTCGCATCGAATGTTCAACCTTTTTTTTTTTTTAAAGAAATATCTTTGAATAATTCACGTTTTCCGCAACATTCATCCGGATTGCTATTTGGAATATCACGGCAACACAATGAGAGGACGGACGCTGCTTTTTCTCATCTTTTTCTGCATCGATACGAGTTTCGGGCAGGTCAGCTATTCTATACGGGAGGAAATGGAGAAAGGCTCGGTAATATGTCAAATAGCTCAGGATTTAGGTTTAGATTTTAAAAGGTTGAAATTAGGAAAAGCTCGCCTTTATTCGACAGACAGTACGGAATACGTTGAATTAAACAGAGAAAGGGGTGTCCTGATTATCAAAGAAAGAATAGACAGAGAGGTGTTGTGTGGATTTACGTCACCGTGTGCATTACATTTACAAATGATTTTGGAAAATCCAATGGAGCTATTTCGAATAACTATAGAAATAACAGATATTAATGACAATGCACCCAGCTTTGCATCGAGTGAAAAACGTTTTGAAATCAGCGAGTCGGCAATTGTTGGATCTAAATTTGTACTCGAAAAAGCTGTTGATGCTGACATCGGTGTAAACGGTCTTCAAAGCTATATGCTTAGGCCAACAAGCAATTTTGACCTGAAGCTAGAGAATCAAGCAGATGGAAGTAAAAAAGTAGAGATGGTGTTACAGAAACCTTTAGATCGCGAGCAAGAGAGAGAAATATCTTTGTTATTGACTGCTGTGGATGGAGGGGAGCCGCGAATGTCAGGTACAATGCAAATAACAGTTAATGTGTTAGACGTAAATGACAATACACCCGTTTTTACTAAATCTGTGTACAAGACGGCATTAATGGAAAATTCTCCGCGTGGGTCAAGTGTTATTGCTGTTCGGGCGTCAGATAAAGATGAAGGATTAAATGGGCAAATTTCATACACAATTACAAATAGCAAGCAACATTTAGCCGGGCTCTTTCAAATCGATCGAAAATCCGGGGAGGTTTTTTTGACTGGTGAATTAGACTATGAAAAGGTGAAGCTCTTGCAAGTTGACATAGAGGCTACAGATAACGGAGGGTTCTCTGATTCTAGTAAGATTATGATTGATATTATTGACATTAATGACAACAGTCCGCAAATAAAAATGCTCTCAAAATCAGAATCTGTTTTAGAAGACGCTCCAGAAAATACTGTGATTGCGATGTTTAGTGTATATGATCCTGATTCTGAGAAAAATGGGGAGGTAACGTGTAAAATTAATGATGAAATCCCCTTTAAAATAAAGAAGACAATGAATGAATTTTATAGCTTAGAAACAGAAGTACCTTTAGATAGAGAACTGGCTCCCGCATTTAATATCACTGTACTCTGCTCTGATGACGGAGTCCCCTCCCTCTCCAGCAGCGTCACTCTCCCCTTGCAGATATCTGATGTTAATGACAACGCGCCTGTCTTTGAGAGGAGCTCGTTTGAGGCCAACATTGTAGAAAACAACAAACCAGGTCTCTCCATATTCACAATAAAAGCCACGGACGCTGACTGGGGCCAGAATGCCCGTATTTCTTACATACTGGAGGACTCCTCTGTTAATGGAGTTCCTGTCTCTTCATACGTGTCAGTCAGTGCTGATAGTGGAGTCATCCATGCAGTGCGCTCTTTTGACTACGAACAGATCAAAGATTTTCAGTTCCGTGTTAAAGCTCAGGACGGAGGCTCTCCACCACTTTATAGTAATGTCACTGTAAAACTCCTGATCCAGGATCAGAATGATAACCCCCCTCAGGTTCTGTACCCAGTCCAGACAGGTGGATCAATGGTGGCTGAAATGGTGCCTCGCTCAGCAGATGTGGGCTACCTAGTAACTAAGGTGGTGGCTGTTGATGTGGATTCTGGACAGAACGCCTGGCTCTCATATAAGCTACAGAAAGC